CCGGACAAGCGACGGGCGGGCGGCATACTTCTCAGGCTGGATATTGACGAGATCTAAACCTAGGACCTGCGCACATCATGTCAGCCGTCTGGCAGCAATGCGTCATGCTTAAGTGGGCGCACCTCGGCGTTTAGGTATTTGCTGCACGGGCGCGGTTAGCCTTGAGTCGGTAGCTCTGGCTGCTTTGGCCAACTTACTCGGCCATGTCAATTGCCCAGATGCCCGTCCCACAGCCTACGTCGAGGATGCGGGGCTGCACGTTTGGCTGCGTCGGCACCGGCGCCTGGTGCAGCTGCCCTCTCCGTGCGACGGCGAAGAATTGGTGGTAGATGTCCATGCGGTCCTTCTCGGGCTCGTCGCACGGGTACATGTAGAGGCCTCTCCGGAAGCCATGATACCAGCGGCCATTTTCCATGTAGTTGCTGTTCTGAGCGGGCACGGGCAATCTGCGGGCGAGGGTCAGTCTGCGGGCGTGGTACGGAGAGCGGGGGCACACACCCATTCGAAGCCATCGTGACCATTGGAGCGAGAAGTATCGACAGCGAGGGCAGACGGCTAACGGCGAGCGAGGGCGGTGCTAGGGGCCAAGTCGTCGTATGCGCTGATCATGGGACGATGACGGGGACGCGGAAGCAGGGCGCGCTGTCGTTTGGGACGTGTACGGCGTCGAGTGCGGTCAGGCGTGGGTATACTGCTACAGTCCAGCAAGGCGATCTCAGTCATCAGGGCAGAGCGATGCGGGAGGTATTTAAAAGCGGACGACCCCTGCAGTGCTTCCGTCAAGCGCGACTACGAGTGCTGACGCTGGGTCGACCACAAGCAGGCCGGCATCAATGCAAGAGGCAGTCCGAGGCGTGCTCCACTCATCTTTTGCACCTCTCTGGGACCCATCGGCACGCAGGCCATAGCTGAGCTACTATTAATTAGGTGGCCCTGTCCATGCCACTCGCGCTCGGAGCTGGACCCAACCAAGTCAAGTCTCTTCCGGCTACCACAATGGCGGGTGCAGTCGTCTCTCGGAAGCGCATCCGTGCACTCGACTGCCTGCCAGTGCCTACCAATCTCCTAGTAGCCTCTCCCTATCCAGTGCCCCAGGCACGTCGTCTGGTAGCAGCACACACCGCTCCCCACCGTCATGCGCCTCACCCTCAGCATCAACGCACCATCCGCACCATCATCGCATGCACCATCATACACTGTAATGCATCCCCCAGATGCATCATGACAGCCCCTTCCTCTTGGCCGCGACGCCCAATAGAGTGGTAACCGACCTGCGCGGAATCCCGTACCATGCTCCACTCGAGCGAATAGGATTCCCGTCATTCACACACACCCTGCCGGTTCTGTGCTCGTCGTCTGCCGCTTCAGGACACCATCAGCCCTCAGCGACGCTTGTCGGCCCAGGCGACGCTTTCGCGTCCAAGACCGAAATGACTACTCAGGTGATACCATTCAGGCTGGATAATCTCCGCGATCCCCAGCAGCAGCTCAATCACCATGGTGCTTACGCGAGACGAGTACCGAAGAATTGCTTATCCCAGCGGACCGTCAGGCTGCATGCGCGTTTGCCCGCCTGTAGCGTTTAGAGCACGTTGCGAGCATAGCACAAAAGCACTCTGGGACCGATCCCACTGCCCCAATACTTGCAACCAGGTTATGGCAGACCACCGTTTCGACTGCATTGTCGACACAAGTCTTGTTGCAGCGCCGCGCGCCGTTCCGCTGCCGACTGGTCGTTCGGTACAGGAAGGGTTGCGCAAGGGGCCAACCCCGCCTGGCTGTCGGTAGCAGGCTTTGCTTGCGACGACGATAACAGCAATAAATGCATCGATATCTTTTGTGAGCCCTTTGTGACAGTAGCGTTCGCCAAGTACGTAGCAGGTAGATCGATTGGGCCGATCAAGCCATGGCCATGCAGTCGCCGACACGGCAGGTAACTTTGTCGATACGTGATGCGTCCTGTCGAAAGCGTTCCCAGAAGCATGGTTCACCGCCTAGGATCACACACCTCATTCGCTCCTAGTTGCCGTCTAGAGAACTGCGCCGCACGGGAAGCTATAGCTCGCGAACTGCTTTCTGCGTATAGCTAGAAGGCGATCATCCTGCATCGCTTGCATCTAGCGGGGCCGGCCTTTGCAAAAACTTGAACAAAGACGCCAACGTAATCGTTACAAGCTGCTCCAGGGACTGAGACGCGACGTGGCTGCAGTTGACAGTTCCGCGAGGGACATGCCGACCGCGCCCATGTCAGCATGTCAGCTCCACGATGCAGACGGCGGAGTCCTGGTAGCGAGGCCCCCCTGCAGGCACAGAGGGACCGTTTCAGCTCTCAGCACAACACCAGCATAAATCGGAAACGATGCAACCTCGCGAGGGACGGCTGCAGGGTTGGAGAGGAAGAAACAGGCTGACTGATGGCCGCGAGGGCGACAAGAGTGCGGGGAGGCCTAGACAGACAGCCGTGAGCAAGGCAGAGTGAAACACGGTCGTCGCTGACATGGCTGAACCGGCGTGCTGGGTCTCTCCATAGGGCTGGGAAGGAAAGTGCGACTGGCGAGCCGCCGGTCGGTCGATGCCGCATGAACACCAGAGCTGCCTCCACCACCGCCCACCCACCGCGCGACAAACACGGCGCCGTGACGCCGAACTGCTTCTAGCGAGCGTCTCCCCTCTTTTGACAGCCAACGACAAGGTCGATGCTGGTCGTCACTGCCGGCACCCACATGGGTCGCGCCTGGGATACAGCACATCGCGCGACGGCATTCGCCCGCGGCTGCAGAATGAAGCGCGCGTGGGGCTGACATGTCCAGCCTGAGACGACTGAGCATGAGCGCCTGGGCCCTGCCGACACCTCAGCGCACCAGAGACGGCGTTTCAGGCCTGGTGAAGCGGTTCCAGCTATAGTGCACCTGCACAGTAGACATCATCGAAACATCGCAACCAAGCATCATGGCCCGTCTTCTGCAGCACATCTCTAATCGGAAACCTTTGCCAACGCAGAGTCAGCGACCAGGCGCTTCCACCCACCCCAGGCGCGCCGACTTACGGTCCTTCTTTACGTCATTGTCCGTCTTGCCCGCCAACGGAATGACTTTCGGCGCGGGCCTGATATCACCATCTCCAGCTCAGGCATGTGTAGGTTATCCGAGGCAGCCAGATTGCGATGACTGGGGACGCGGCGGTTAGCGAAATTTATCACGGTGTAGTCTACAACACGGCCTGATACCCACCGAGCTTTTGGCGCCCGTTATTCATGCACAACATATCCTCCTTCGACATAGCACCGCCGCTATCTCTTTTCCAGAAACAGACGAGGTCTATCTGGCTACACTTTTCCTTCGCCGCGGGGTCCAATCTTGGGCGCTGGCAACGAGTCAGCATACGTGCCGTGCGGACGCCTTCGATTGCAGCCGTAGACTGTCATACGCGACGATTGTGTCGACCCAGCCGCGCTGGCTGTGTTCACACATTGCGTATGCCGCAAGTGCTCGACTCGCGGACCTCTGCATCATCTCACGCCGTCACCGTGTCACGGCACATCCCAGCATGTGCGGTGCGGTGGTACAACTCACAAAGACCGTTGGAGACGCACCACCCAGCCCGACGGCTGCTTGCAACCGTAACCACACGGCAGCCGCCGCTGCAACCACCAAGTGCCGAATTAGCAGAAACAGTCCCTTACAACGGACCGAACCATCAGGCTGTACGTGCACGACAAGCCAACTATATTTGTGTAACTTGGAATTTGTAAGGTTTGAACGCACGAGCACAAAGTGCACTGATGATCACATGGGACGTCACGCAGAACACCTGCAGGTAACTACCTTGACGTCGACTTAGGCCAGCAACAGGGTCTCCCACGAGGCAAGCCAACGCAGTCTCCTCATACAGGGGCCATGATTCATCGTCTAACCTCCTCACCTGATTTTCACGTTGCGGAGTCTACACAGAGCACGAGAAAATGCAGAGCGTCACCGTGAGCCAAGTAACACCGGATACTCGGTACTCCCAGCACGATCTATCACCCTCCTACTGCGAAACTAGCAAGTTCAACACACGATTTCGATTTCGATCTCGATACCCGACGGACATGGCGCGCATGTCCGCTCCCAAGATCCGATGTCAGAGCCGTTTCGGACACCAGCGGCAACCCCTTGCTAGACATCGCCTTGTTGCCTACAGCCCGCGCGTCAACTACAATTTGGTTGCAGAATTGTGTCCCTCTGATTCAGAATGTGGGTACTATCATGCACAATCGGGCGTTATTACGCTGTACGTACCACCGGCTGATATCTATCCGACTGAAAATGAGATTGACGTGCTCACCGCCCGCTCGAAAAACTCCAATCTTGTCCAGAACTGGAACCGGTATTCGAAGCCGAACGCCTTGCGTGTGAACAGCATCTCCATCTGTGGGGTTCGCATGTATACCCTGACCCACGTTGGTCTGGCTACGCTGGCGGACCAACTGTCCTGGCGTATGACTAGCGTAAAAGTCTTCGGTATCTCCTCCGTTCGCGCTAAAAAGCAGGGTTCTGCGTGTCATCGCAAATCAAATCACGGCAACGCAGTCACTTGTTTTCCAATGAGATTACGATGTGCGAAGAATTAAGCTTTGCACGTTCTGGAACCCTACACCCGCGAGGGACCCGTCAAAACCCATGAAACCCAAGGCTTCCAACTCGGGAATCACCGTCTACTGTACCCGTCATACTGGTCCCGCTATGTTGGCGTCTCGTCTCATGGTGTATTTTCGACACATGACTGGTGCTAGAGATTAATTATTACCGACGGGATGACCTTGGTATTCGTCTTATACACAACCCGTCCTATTACTACTCCTGTGCAGCTAAACCGTTCTGCTGTTATACACCAGCACAAGCGTCTGTTGAGCAAGGAACATTCCAAATATCTTCCTCACGCCCGGGGCGTGGTGCCGGTCCAACGGCTAGCTTGCATCATGATCGATGTCCATCCCATATTGTACACTCCCGCGACATCTAGACCCATTGCCATCTCTTTCGTATCCACTTCAGGACATACACCAACAGCACAAGTACAGGAACCTCGATCAGGGGCCCCACCGTACTGGCCAGAGCCTGCCCGCTACCCGCGCCGTAGACCGCGACGACAACCGCGATAGCAAGCTCAAAGTTGTTACTTGCAGCAGTAAAGCTCTGCGTGCAGCTAACCTTGTAGCTGAACCCCATTTTCCAGCAGAACCAAACCGTACTCGTAAAGATGACGATGAAGTAGACCAGGAGCGGCGCGCAAACCCTCAGCACATCCGTAATCTGCCTGACAACATGCGCGCCCTGACTAGCAAAGAGAACGATAATCGTGTAAATCAGGCCGATGAGCGAAAACGGCGCGATATAGCGTATGAACCTGCGTTGATAGCGGTCCTCTCCCAGCATCGACCTCAGTGCCAACCTCGTGATCACAGCAGCACCAAGCGGTATCCCCAAGAAAACCCCCACACTCTGCGCAACCTTCTCATACGAAATATCCGTTTTGTCCCCATGACTAACCACCTGAATATAAAACACCGCAAAAGGCGCAAACAGCACAATCTGCAATATCGAATTAAACGCCACAAGCACAGCGCAGTAGTCGCCGTCGCCGCCTGCGAGATCCGTCCAGATGAGTACCATGGCGATGCAGCGCGCAATGCCCACGAAGATGAGTCCTTCACGTAGGTCCTGGCGGTCGGGTAGGAAGGCCCATGCTAATCCCACCATGAAGAGGGGGGCGATGATCCAGTTTAGGACGAAGGAGACGGCGATTTGGATCCAGAGATCGCGTTTCTTGAGGAGGAGATGTAGGGTTTCGAAGCGGACTTTGCAGAGGATGGGGTACATCATTACGAGGAGACCGATGGCTATATGACGTGTTAGCATCTGGTATGATACCTACGAGATAGATCATAGGATGAGGATGAGGATGGAAGGAATGAGACGTACCAATCGGAATACTAACACCCACGAACTCTCCCCTCTGCAACGCTGGACCCACGGAGTCAACGGTATTCCCCAGTGCGATACCGATGCCCATGGCGAGGATAATCCATACGACTAGGAAGCGGTCGAGGAACGAGAGGCCTTTTAGAGGAGGAAGTTCTTTTTGTGTTGATGGATTGTTGCCTGCAAGGACGTTAGTCGTCCCATTGAGAAGGGCATTGACAATGGATTTGGGGATGACATAGACGTACCCATCATATCCTCCCCATCACCAGCACCACCGTTGACACCACCCTTCTCAACATCACCTGCCTGCCCATCTCTTAACCGTGCATCTTTCTCGTCGCGTATCGCTCCTCGCTCAACAGTATCCATCTTCTTTCGCTTTCCTTTCCTTCTATTTATCTACTCTTCTTTTTCTTCTCTTTTGACAGCGCGTGGGTTTCACGATACCACGCGTTTGCAGATGCGCAATGGCACGCGTCTAAAGTAGGTAAAGTGATGATGGCAAAGTAGGCGAGTGTGGCCAATCAAAACGCAGCAGTGACGTTTTCTTGCCGCCAAGCCGCTAACAGCGGGCGGTGAGGCGAAGTTTGGAAATGACGAACGTGATGGTGTTGGCGATCTTCTTGGATGTTGGATTTGATGGAATGCGCATGTCGCGCGTGGGTAATGGATAAGGGCTTGTTGGGCCTATTGTATTGCATGAGATGGAAACGTGGTCATCATGTCATGGATGGTTGTTGAGGTGTCAATGGATTGAGGGTTGCTAAATACCACTATTACTAGTACGTCTTTCCCAGCCGAAACTGATCTCGATATCTGAAGATGAAGGCTCTCTTTTTCCCTTCATTGCGGGTGATTCACAATGAGTGCCACCTACAGTGTTTCCATTTGCGATACACTGCATAACTACAACCATCCTGCGGCGAACAAAGGTCCTTGAGACACTTAATCAGGCTATAGCGCGTCTCGTCGTCCCAGCCTTCTGGCACTCCATGAGACAAGAACCCGTTCCTGGATTCTTCTGGCCACCACCATCCCTTTCTCACCATTTCATGCAATGAAGCAATGTCCACCATGTTCATTGTCTTTTCCCAAACCCGAACACCAGTGGGCAACCATGTATGTTGCCAGTAGGTAACCCGCACGGGGAGACAGTGATGGTTGAGCTCAATCTCTACAATAGGATCTTGAACCCTGAGTGGAACCTCCAGTGAAACCCTCAGCGAGTGCTCCATCAGAACCAAGACATACTTCCGGATCTCGCCAAGTGTTGTAATGTGGTCTCGGGTCTCATCACGGCCGCATACACGAACGATGATGGTGGTGCCGGCTGGGAAAACGGAAGTGACCCGCAGGAGGTCCCTTGCGTCGATACGAACTGTAGCCAGATGTAGTAGCTCGTTTGTCTGAAACCGCAGAACGATAGTTGGCGCAATCTTGTACCTCTGGGATGCTTCGATCGGTGTACAGCTCTGCAGTCTTCCCTGTTTCTGGCCGTAATGTTGGAAAATTCGGCGATCAAGCCTTTCAAACATGGCCGAGGAAGATCGAAGTGTATTTGAGCTCAGGACAATGATGAATTCACTCTTGCAATGAAAGTCTGAAGAGACTATAGTGCGGAGTTGAACATTGACGTGGAGCATACTGAGATTGAGCCCATTCGTGACACCTGTGTTGAAGTTGTATGTGATCTCACGATTGGTGGATGCAAACCCAGAAATGGTTCTAACAACGTCGTTAGGCAGATTGAGAAGATTAGGTCGACTCGGTACAAGCTCGTATCCCTGCGTCTTCTCCGACAATTGGAATCGCTCTGTGAAATCGGCCTTACGACTAGTCGAGAGAAAGCAGATGGTGCCTTGCTTGCCGTCTGGGGCCACTTCGATATCCTGTAGTAGGCGGCGTGCGTTCTTCAACTTGAGTGTGTCCAGTCTTCCGAGCTCATAAAGGACCTTGGTGAAGAACTTGGGGTCAGGACCCAATTCATCAGGGTCGGGGTATTCATCGGAATCGGGGTGTATACGACGCCCACTACTCTCGAAACGAACTGACAGATCGCGTGCGACTCCGTTCCAGAACACATCGAGAAACGGCAAGATATCTATGTCACTGCGGGACCACCTGTAAAAGTCTTCCCAAAATGGAAGATGATCATACGCATTTGATAAATGCGGAGCGTCCGTATCGATGACAACGGTACGCAATGCTGAGAGACTCGATCCGATCTCTTGCGTCCACTCCATATATGCCTTTGTAGGAAAGAGAATGGTCCCTTTATCAAGGACTATGCCGTAGTTGAATTGGAAGATATTGTGGCCGTAGAGAACGCCGATTGCCTCATGGTAGATCTGGCGGCAAGTCTGAAGGATGGCCGGACTTCCTGAGAAGCTGCTGGTCTTTATGACTGTGTCGTGTAGGCTGCTGCCCGCGATGGAAATGGGCTCGTCTTCTACTAGCAAGTATTCGTAGATCTGGTTGCGGAGTTCAGCCGGGATGGTGAGGAGTGAGGTTTCAGCAGGATTGCTGATCTGCGAATACACTTGTGCGATCTGCCCGTGGATGGGCTTCGGCAGTGGGAAGTGCATGATGGAGTGAGAGACAGCGCTTCAGCTGCTGAGTAGTCGTGCAGCGAGGGCAACTGGAACAGGTCAGTAAGTGCATATATAAAACAACAGCGGGTACAGAACTTACCGTATGGCTGTCAGCGCAGCTGAACGCAGTTGCAGAACGCGCGAGTACAGTGTTCAGCGTGGCTCCTTACAACGCGAGGGAGGCAACGATGGATATGTGAGTGTCGGTGTTCAGGAATTTGCAGTGAGATTGTTGTGCTTGAGCTTGGACCTTGATTGTCTTAAGAGGAAAGAGCACCCAGGCAGTGACTATTTGCACTAGCGCGCTAGGAAGGTGTTTCGTTCACACTATACTACGTTATCTTCTTATAATCTGTGCCCGAGTGATGAACACTCCGCTGGTAATAAACCTGGACGGTGACGGTGACGCGCGACCACAATTACTGGATGATGCAACAGGATCAATCTAAGGTGCACTGGTCACAACGGCTACGTGGTGCAGATGAAAGACACGTGGGGTGTAATGTCAACGCAGCTGTTTGGGAAGTGATGATGGATTTAGAGCTTCCATGTAGAGCGGAGTTTTAGTTATGGGATATGCCCAAGCAGATATGTGCTAAGCAATGCCAGGTCGATGCAAAAATGGAAGGAAAGACATGGCAAAAGAACCTGTGTTCTTCCGACATTCGCGCTCGAGCTTGGAGTCTTTTCGCGAGCAGCTTCGGGTGTGCACACTCGTGTGTATGGTAGTCCTACACTTCAGTGACAGAGCCGATAGAGACGCCAGAGAACGGTATACATCGTCTGGTCCTTCCACTCATCCTGATCATAGTGCTCTCCAGGCCGGTTCTCTGTGGGCCTCAGGCGCGACCACTCGCCCTTTGGGGTGTTTAGTTGCTTCAACCACCTAGGACTGCGCTTATCGAATAACAGGACGAATTCCGCTGAGTCCAAACTCTTCACCGTAGTTACAACGGAAGGTTGCAGGCATTCCCCAACCCTCCGGATCGTAGCTCGCATTGGGACACACTGGCTATTCAGTTCAACTTGAACACTTAGCTTGCGGGCTTGTGCAGCTGTTTCGGGCTCTAGATGCTTCAAAAGGCGGTAGGTATCCTTTCGAATGGTGCCCAACCTTGTAGTATGATCCTGGATCTCGTCTTCGCCACCGCATACGCGAATGATCATCGTAGTGTTTGCTGGGAAGACCGAAGTGACGCGTAGGAGATCCCATGCATCAATCTGAACGGCAGCTATGTGCGGCGCCTCGTTTGTCTGGAACTGCAAGATGATGGTCGGTACGTTCCCATGCAATATGCTTGCGGTAACCGGATTACATAGTCTCGTTGGCTCGGAATCATTGAATTTCGTCTGCGCATAAGTCTCTGCAATGAGACAATCCAGTCTCTTGAACATTGCCTTTGATGATTGGAGCGACTCAGTACCTAGAAGTAAGGTAAAACGGCATTGGCGTAGAAACGACGGTGCAACGAGCCCACGAAGCTGAGAATTGACTTTGAGCATACCGGGTTGGTGGCCAAGCGTGATACCGTTGTAGAAATCGTACGTGAATTCGAGATCACCAAGTGCAAGACGGATGACAGCATGTATGACCTCGTAAGGTAGATCAAACATAGTCGATGGGATTCGTAGAGGAACGAGGTGGTACCTCTGGGTCTGCGTTGACATTTCAAACGCACGCGACATAGTCCCGCTGTATCCGGATGACCGATATATAATGGAGCCTCTTGTACCGCTCGTATACAAGATGACAGCATCGAGCAAGCGACGCGTTCTCTGTAAATCGAGTGCATCGTTCTTTCCAAGCTCAAAAAGGACGTTGGCGATGGATGTTGCGTCGTGCTGTTGATCTTCGAAGCCGAATCCGTAGTCGTCTGATACATCGTCCTCGGTCATTTCAAACATGACTGATGTGTCGCGTGTGTCGCTGTTCCAGAAAACGTCCAGTAACGGCAAGACGTCTATCGGCTGACGGGAATTCGTGCGCACATCTCTTCCGAACATCCAATCCTCATACTTCCCCGGTATCTCTGGCACGTCCAGGTTGATATTGATGGTGCGCAGTCTCGGAAGACAGGAGCCAATGTCGTCTATCCATCTCTTGCATACTTCCATGGGACTAACGATCTTAACGTCGAAAAAGTCGTCGTGTATGCTGTGTTGGAAGCGGAAGGCATTCCGGCTGTAAAGGAGACCGACTGCCTCATGATAGATCTGACGGCAAGTACGAAGGATAGCAGGGCTTCCTATGGAGGTAGAAGTCCCTTTGGTCACCTTGGTCTCTCTAAGATCAACCTTGGCGATCTCGAACGTTATAGGGCAAGGTTCCACGAGAAGATACTCGTAGATCTGGTTGCGTAGCTCAGGCGCGATAGTGAGTAGTGAGGGTACATCCAGTGCCACAGATCCGGAGCACGCTTGCGCGATGCGGCTGCGCTTAGTATTTGGGACTGGAAAGTGCATGGCTGCAGTTCAAGCCAATGGGTGGACGTAGGTGCGACTGACGGTTATTAGTAAATGTACAAATATCATACCCGGAATGAGCGAAGAACTTACGAGATAGCCTCCAATGCTGTTGCATGCGACGGCGGCACGAGTGGGTGTAATGTGTTGCTTGGTTCCTGTACAAGACGACAGCAACGGTACCGAGGTAGAGGTTGGGTGAGTGGCAGTGACGCTGTATCGCCTGAGCTTGGACCTCGCTTGTTGTGGAAGGAAACAGCGACGACGGTTGCCATGGAGCGCAAAAAGTGTCTCTCACTTACCTGTATTACGTCATATTACTTTCGGACTTGAAAGAGCAGCGTGCTAACACACCCGTCATAATGGTTGGATGATGGCGAGCAAATACGTCCAAAAGGCAGCAACGTACAAAAAGACCTTTACATTCAGCTCCACGACATCTAAATACGACCTCTATCCAGAAACTTCTTCGGCAAATCCACAGTCTTCGCGCGCATATACTCCATAGCATCTGTCACACTGTCAGCAAACTCACTCACCCAAAGCCGCGCTCAATATACTTACTCTTCCCCAAAGTATCATACGAAGAACACGTATTATACCCCCCATCCCTAAGATGATCATGCAGCAAAAAATGCACCGACCGTATCCCCGCAATCTCAAACCGGTCAATCGGCTTCCCCTGGTACTCATCCTTACCAAGAAGCTGCTTAACGCGCTCGATCGTCATGAACGAGCGCAGCCAATCCCACTCGTCGTCGTGGCGCACGAAGAAGCCGCAGTTGCAGTCTGAGGCTTTGTCTCCGGAGCGGCCGGCTACGATGTAGCCTAGTGGTGCGCGAACGGTTTCGCCGAAGGAAGATGGGTCGACTGGAGAGGCGGTTTCGTAGGAGGCTTGTTGGCGGGGGTATTCTTTTGTGATGGCGGGTGGGCTGAGGTCGGTGGTTGACTTGTTGCCGTACATGGTGTGGACGCGTAGGGGGAGTTGGTCTTGGGGGAGGAGCGAGACCCAGTAGTCGTAGTAGGGCTTTGGTGCGATCTGTCGGAGGTCGTTCGATAGGGAAAGACCGGGGGCGGATTGGAGGAAGACTTCGAGACACCAGCGGTTGAAGCCGTTGGGGATGTCGGGTCGTACTAGCTCGGGGTCGGAAGTCTGGGCGAAGATGCGGAAGTCGACTGTTGCTACGTCTTGATTGCGGGCATCAATTGGCGAAGAACCGTTTTGGTGGAATCTTAGTGTCTTGAAGCGGTTTACGTTGTCGCCCATGGCTGCTCATATTAGTCTCGCGTTGCGTGTGTGGAAACAACGTTTGCTTACCGTAGCGGATTTGGTCTTCAGTAATCTTGCACTTCTCCTCGATATCAAGACCGCATACAAACATATGCCACTCGCATTGCCAGCCAGCTGGAGCGGTAATACCTACCTTGGTTGTAGGTGGCGGAGGAAGGCCCTTGACTCCTGTGACACGGACAAGATCCTCGCCTACTTGCTCCATCTTGACGTCCGTGATATCGGCCGTAACATCACAGTTGTAGTATAGTGGTCCCTGGATCTCGTATAGTAGCTGCGAAGTGCATGTTCCGACAGTTACGCAACCTGTATGCGTTAGCGGCGTACAACTCCAGCTCAAGGTGCCGCCACCTACCTCCGGTATCTTTCTCTTTCGCAATATTGAAGCTACCATCATATTCGACTTCCGCGATGGGAAAGCCCATGTTGATGTGCTTTCCAGTCTTCATAAGATCTTTGAACATTGAGTAGTATCCTCCCGTGACGTAGGCAGAACACTCTACAAGATGGCCTGCTATGAGCGCTCCGGCAAGTTCGTCAAATTGATCGTTCTTCCAGTCATGCCACCACCTGATCACGTTAGCTGAGGTCAACAATCCATTGTTGTAACTTACGCCGCAGCGCCAATAACCGGCGCAGCATCTGCAAGCCTTCCACCAAGCACAATATCAGCGCCCTGTCGGAAAGCTTCTGCAATGCAAAGTCCACCCAAATACGCCTGTGCGCAGATTGGCTGCATTCCCCATTCCTCCAGCTTCTTGCCATGCATCAAGCTTTCGAACTTCTCTCCCTTTTTGATAAGACTGTTGACCTGTCCCGTCACATCGTCTCCTTCTATCCATGCCACTTTGAGGTGACCAGCACCCGCTTTCTCCAACATATCGACCACAACCTCAGCGAGGAGCTCAGTGTCTGATGCGCCGGCGTTCACCGCGAGCTTCGTCTTGTTCTTGACTAGATTTGGTATCGCTGGCTCGAGGCATTGGATGAAGGTATCGGCGTACATTGCGTTCTTCTTCCGGTCTTCAAGGCTCGTCGTGCCATTGGCGTGCTTCGTAGGCTTCTGCTTAACTTTGCCGCTGCCATGTACGGTCATGGTCATTTCGGATAGCCAGTCACCTGTTCGTGTCAGCTCGAAGTCCTCCATAGCCAGCTTTCAGGGGAGTCTTACCCATCACAACATCCACCTCCGGATCACCCGCCATCCTCATGATAGCAGTCGAACGATCCGTAAACCCTCCCGAGCATCCTGCGATGCGCACAGCGCGTTTGCGGTCAGTAGAAGGAGACATTTTCACTCGTTTGGGGTTCGGCGCCATATATGTCTCGTAAGAAATCTAATAAGGGATCAATTGCTCCATGACGGAGAGTCTCAAAGCTATATACCAGGCCGTCCAGGACCGGCTTTCCGGGGTACGGCAAACCATCGAGGCTGTTGCAGGGCCGTTCCTCTAGTATCGTCCAATGGCGGCTATACATAAAGGTAGCGCGACACTCATGTCATGTCCTGGGAGCTACTTGCGGATAATCTTGAACGATGGAAGACGATTTCCTGAGAGCTCATGGCGGGGTTGCGGGGAAGGAGACGGACGCGAGCGCGCGGTGCTGCTGAAGGCCCAGAACTGTCTTCATTGTGATACCACCGACGGCATGATTTTAATGTGATGTCTTCATAGTTGAGTCGTCGATTTGCGCATAAAGCCGACGCGTGCTCGGCTTTCGCGAGTCGGTGAAAGGAAGAGGACTGTGACGCGCGATGTTCGCGATTCGGCTAACGACTCATTCTGGTCAGTGGTAATGCTTTGCATGACTCGATAACTTTGTCCCAGCTCCGGGAAGGATTGCTCCGCACTATACCGAGTATAGTAGCGTCACTTCCACACTACCATGAACTGACTGGAGCTACTGATACATTACATTCAGAGCGATTGTGCCAATGTCATGAGGAAATGCATACGTGGCGCACTCTGTCCGCATGCCAAAATCCAATTTCAATGACCATCGCGGTTTTGGACTTTCAACCCATCTTTAAAGTCGCAAATATAATGATAGAATTCTTGTATACCACCATCTCATACACATATTCCAGTCTCCCAACCATTCAAGGCGCCAAATTCTCAACCACCAACCAAACCCCCATCTTCCCCTCTCCTCCCTTCTCAGCCCCCTCTCGCGCTTTCCCACCAACCGCCATCCCCTTCACCCCCCTCTTCTCCTTCTTCATCTCCTCCCTCGCCTCCCGCCACTCCCTCTTCACAGCCAACCTCTCCTTCTTCAACTCCTTCCTCTGCGCTTTATACTCTTTCTTCGCAGCTTTCCATTCCGGATCCTTCTTCGCTTTCTTCGCCGCTTTGCCTTTGCCCTTGGTGTTGGTATCAGCGTGTTTGGACTTCAACTCACGCTTCTTGGCGCGGTGTTGTTTCTTGAGCTCGCGGTTTCGCTGCTTGATGTTGCGGCGCGCGAGTTTGAGGGATTGGGCTTTGGGGGTTGGGGCAGGGGTGAGGTCGGAGTCGGAGTCGTAGTCGGAATCAGAGTCTGAGGAGGAAGAGTCGGAGCTATCTGATGATAGTGAGGAGGTGTCGTCGTCGTCATCCAGGTCCTTGACTGCAGCTTTGCCCTTATCCTTCGTGTCGGTGGGGTATTTAGTGTCGATTTTGCGGTCGCCGTATAGGACGCCTGTTTCTTGTCCCGGTGGCGTGTCGTACGCAGGTGGGAGGTCGTTGTGGACTTGCTCGTACGAAGCAGGACCTGAGGTAGTAGGCCCTCTATTCCCACTCACACTCACACCTCCACCTGCGTTTCCACTAGCCATCCTACCCACCTCCACCCCGAAAGCACTAGCGCGTTTACCGATCTCAACACCCAAATCACCCATATGTTTACCCAATTGCTCCCCAATCTTTCCTAATTCTTTGCCTACTTCTGCCCACTCGTTTCCGGATTGTGGTGGTCCACGTCCGCGTCCACGTCCGCCACGAGAGGAGCAGCCTCCTCTACCGAAGAAGGCGTTGCCTCGGGGCCCGAAAGGTCCTCGACCGCCGCGCCCGAAAGGTCCATTACCAGGGGCACCAAAAGGTCCGTTGCCAGGTGCACCGAAGGGGCCATGGCCTGGCATACCAAAGGGCGACCAGTGACCGCCTCGTCTGCCGCGAGGATGATGGCCACCCCGTCCGTGTCGACCATGTGCGCGTGAAGAATCCTCTGGAGGTCCAGGAATGGAGTGAGGTGGGTCTTCATATGCTCCAGCAGATCCTAGCGCCCTATTATGTGACGACGTGTTTCCAACATAATCAGGTGAGCCAGTAGCCGTCTGATGACCCGAAAGTCGTTCACTCATCTCATGCAGCTTAAGCACTCTCTCGCTCGGCATCGGCACTGCGTCAGCGTCGAGAGCTTCGATCCAGGGGTACAATTGCCTTGCGCGCCATTCAGCCGTTGCAGTCTTATCGGCCAAGTTGGCGAGAACGGTGGGTTTGTGGCCCGCAGGTATAGGTAGCATATCTAGAAGCGCAGTCTCGCTGCGGAACGACACAATCAGACCTCTCGGCGCAAAGAAAGCTTCATTCGCTCCTCGAATGTAGTCGTGTACGATGCTGGAAGAGAGTCCTTCATGCGTCGATTCCTGTAGCAAGTCTTCGGCCGTCGTGTGCGCGGCTGTAGTCAGGACCTGTAGACCGTACAAGAACTCTGCAAACTCGGCTGGCTTGATGGAATGCCGGTCCAACACTTCAGCGTAGGCAACTAAGAAGTATACGTGTTCGTCTGCACGTCTTGCTGGTCCTGCATGGTCGGGTATCGCGATGATGCGGTTTAGATGCGGTGCATACTGCGCCTTAGCATCTGGTTCTTCGCGGCTGAACTTCAAGGCTTGGGTGAGCAAGTCAGAAGCCAGATCGGGCTGTTTGCTCGACGAAGAAGTAGGTTCGCTGTGCACTTGTCCCACAGCGATGTTCTCACTCGTACTGGCATGCTGGACTGGAACACTGGTGGCCTTGTCGTTTGTATGATTCGCATAATCCGGCGCTTGTTCCTGTTCACTAGCAGGATCTGGTTCTTCGCCTCTTACACGG